TTGGAAACGTCTCACAAAGACCCTGGCAGACCTGACAAACAGGATCGACACATCCGCTCGTGCGAAAGCGCGCAACTGCGAAGGGTTGGACAATGTATATTCGGTATGTTCAATAGAAAGTCACCAGCCGCGGGAAGGGTGTTGTCCGAGGGCCTTGACCTGGACCTCGACGGGATCAAGTGTCACTGGACCAATTGAAGGGAGCAATACAATGCAGTCAGCTGGTGACACGCCGGAAGTCTTTGTTCGATATTCTTCTCTGAATCAAAATCCAGTTGAATGGTGTCCAATACACGCTTCAGGCTGGACAGAATGTCGACTGTCGCAATGGGTCGCTTGTAGGGAATCGACTGGCAGACAGCACTTTTAACAGGCAAATGTAAGGTACGGCGAGAGCACTGCAAGTTGCACAAGGATCGGAACGAGACAGGGTGACTTTTGAAGGTCGGCAGTCGATCAACGGAAAACGAGACGCAGGGGAGGGAGGATTCGCTGGTGGGAGACCTGTCACCGGAGGAGGAAGTCGCTGATCAGTCCTGCAGTTCGGGGTATTATTTGAGGGGGTGATTTTTGGGAGGGAAAGCAAACCTTGTGGACGAAGGTTCTGTCACTTGAGCCGACGTTGCTTTTACCGATCAATCGGAAGTGGTAACAAATGAGTTTTGACGGGAAATGGGCACTTGAGGGTGTTCGAGGACAGGCGAAGTCGAGTCGATTCTAAGAGGTTCGGGAGTGTCTCGAAGATGTCTCGAGGCTGAGATGACTTTTTCGAGGATTGTGCTGCGGTGGTTGCTTCTTTGGGGGCGAATGCGGTTGGGAGCGACGGGGGTTTATGGACCAATGGGAGCTCCGGGCGCTGGCAGTGCAGAGAGACCTAAGTAAGATGTCGATATGGGGGGATCTGACATATGTATGCGAGGCGTTGAAGAGCGTCCCTGGGATTGAGGGTGTGGTTTGCTTCAGACAGATGATTGCTCGGAAAAAGGTGGCAAAGGCAAGAAAAGAAAACAGGCACTGGACCACGCAAGGGACGATATTTTTTTTGCAGATTTACGACTTGGGGATGGTGCGGGTGTGCATTATGCCCGCTGCAGGCCATGAGCACTGCAGACGCCGTGGGATGTCCTTTTCGGCAACGCTTTACCTAGAGGTCCACCTTTTGGTGGTAGAAGATGGTGGATGGGGATGGAGAAGCTGGGCTAGGCATGAGTCGGTGCCCAGTGACCGCTGGGCCTCAGTGCCTACTTGCCTACCTAGGTTGCCAGTGGTTGCTAAGCTGCTAAGGTACTACTCGTACCAGTCCAAGCCCCCAACGCCCCAAGACAAACTACATGGATGACCCCTTCGCCTCCAGACCTGCATGACTAGTTAAAGCCTACTCGAAGTGTTGCCGGTATGTAGGATGCACTGCCTGTACCCGTGCATCTGCCTGCGCCTGCGCCTGAGCCTGCATTGGTCAACACCAGACCCAGGTATGGGTGCCTTGGGTAGATACATGTATATATGTTTGGGACTGCTCCCACAACTACTCACCCGCTCTTCTGAGCGGCGTTGTAGTAGCCATTCGAGCCGAGCTGTAACTCTTGCACCCAGTCATTGTAACCAGTCCTCTCATTAGGCCATAGTCAGAGTCCCAAGTACAGGGTACCGCGTACTTAACCACTAGGTACAGGTAGTCGTGGCCGCAGGTAGCTAGGCACCTTGTCTACTTACCTTTTCTCGCCCCTTGGCCTCTCGTCTCCCGTCCCTTGACTTTGATTCTCCATCTCCATCCCCCTTTTTATTATTATTCCCCCTCGGTATTCTCTCGCTGTTTGCCTATACGAGTAGTCCCCGAGTCTTGTCCCCCGGCAACTGACACCACTCGTAGGCAGCAGATTGGGAGGGGGGAACCAAAGTCACAACCACCAACACCAAAGTCAAGCACTTAAGCAACAAACCTTCCCTCCCCGTCAGTCTAACCAGCAGACGAAACATCGCTATACACTTTCTAAGGTGTCCATCGGGATACATCCGCGCACCCCCGACCTCGAATCCAACCTTTGCGGACCAACTATTGGGTCCATTCCGAATGGAGGTCCTCCCTATGGAGTAATACCATGTCCCACCGTACTCGATCCCCGGTTGCCCCAGATCCCTGCCACTGTTGCATCATTCCGTTGGAGGAGGTCTCCATTACCCGAATCTCGGAACTCGAATAATCCTGTGAGAAATGTCCGTGTCAGAACTTGCAAGACAAAAAATAAATAGGGGGATCCGACCGTCGGAGAAAGGGTCCGATGGGCAGTTCTGAGGGCTAAGTGACTGCTCGCGAATCCAGGAGAATGCCCGCAGTTCGCAGTGATGAGAGTCAGGCCACGCGCAGCGGCCGCCTTTCGGTGACCTTTCACAAACTGAGGGGTCCTTCATGTATCAAGGCCATGCTATTGCAGATCATGTCTTGTTTACGAGGTTGAAGAGTACGGTGAAGCGATGACAGCTTCTCACCATTCATTGCTTCATGCAATCAATATCTGATAGTGTTCGGCTTGCGTGGCGGGCTCCGCCCAAAGCTAATTCGCCAGCACCATGGACATTGGCCACAACTTGTCAGCTGGCGACCGTGTCAACCTCGAAGCTTTTTTTTCCCTGCATAATGCAGGCGCCATATGATGGTGGGTTGAGTGGACAGAAACACGAACCTTTGGCACTTCATGGGAAGCTCGACGCAAGCAATCGAAAAATGAGCAGGGAATAATAGTGGTGTGTGCAACTCCTGGCTTCCGGCATATTGCTCACCAACAAGCAAATCATAATGCGATCTCTGCAATAGCCGTCTGCATTGTTTAGCATCCAAGGTAACACACCATCCAATTCTACATAATGTTCAACGGTTAAGCCTTCTGCTTCAGCGAAAATAGGTATTCGATCCACGCCGCCCCTCGCCGCCCCTCATCGACCCTTATCGCAGAAGCAACTTCACCTGGCTTGATGATGGTGAAGAACATCGCCCGTCTTCATCAGACTCCCCCTAAAGACCCGAATCTCGTTGATGCTGATTTAAGCTCGACGTCCTGCCATCTTTCAGACGGGCCGTCGTTCTTATCCGATAAGATAGTTCTTCTATCAAGGTGGCTGGGAGGGTCGATAACGTGGTTTCCTTGACAAATCCAAACAAAGTCAACAAAGGTTTCGGATACTGCGAGCCTTTTTGATATTGCTATCCTATGGTTAGACGAATGTGGATTGTTTCTTCGACGTGGGGTCACATCTCTCTCTGTGTCCTCCCTCCACAAGGCCTGTCACAGCCGATGTTCCATGCAGAGTCATCAATGCGAGGCGTTGCCGATCACCACGTCTTGGCCGCCAAAAGCGAGGTGACTCTCTGTACAATGAACTCTCACCTTCCTCTTTTATTGGCCCGCAGGTCTTTCATGTGAAATCTGCGCCCACCCACGACTAGCTTGTCCAAGCACGCACACCTGCACCAACGAAGCAACCCCGATTCCGATATTTAGCGAGGACAAGAGGGACAGCAAAGCAGCGCTACAGTAGAGGGTGCACGATGCAGTAATTCACCTCAATAGGTGACTCTACCTCACCGCTATCATGCGCCTAGCTGCACTTTGGATAAGGTTGCCTGTGGATTCGGTGCGCAATTGCAAGCGTAAAGCGAGATGCATGAGAAGAGAGCGAAGGAGCTCCTTGTGGTGCAATAGTTGCCTTGAATAAATCGTAGTGACATCGTGGGACAACTTCAGATAGTACCAGTTAAGTGGTGGCTGTTGTCGCTTGTCCAGGATTGCGTCTTCAACACTAGTCCAGCATGGAACGCAGCCTCTCATTCTCGATGGCACGAGCATGAAGGCAGGTGAGCAAACAGCGACTCGAACCAGTTGTTTGTCAATACCCAGCTGGACACAAGAATTTCTCAAATCATCCAGTGCACGCAGTCCTCGAGCGGAATCCATATTAAGCCAGCGCCAAATATTGGACTGTACCGTTGATGGCTATTCCGACCTCTTCCAGATCATTCAGATCAACTGCTTCAATGTGAACTACCGACGAGGTGAATAACAACGGAATTCCTGGCGCTCATTATTAATCTCAGTTGTGCCAGCCATTGCAGCCAACTTGATGACAAAGGCAGGCATGTTAAGTCAGAAACCCCTTCGTCGCCCATCACCCCGCATTCCCAAAAACTCAATGAGAAGAGCAAAGAGCTTTCTTTGATTATCTCAAAAGGATGAGGCTGTTTGGTATTAGTAGGAGACCCTTCACCTCCTCCAGATAGTGGCGTCTGTCCTTGGTAAGCCTCGAAGAGGTGCCACGAGCGCCACATCAGCGGGACAATCATTATTTCCTTGCCGTATGCGCGTCCTCAAGATACGGCCGCAGCAGCCATGACGTCGATGATTTCCCCCAATGCCTACAGAGCACTCGGCACAACTTGGGAGGGCTGGCGGTTACTGTTTACGGCCAACCACGAACTGACTAGATACGCTCTTCTCGGCCCCCAGACGGCTCGGTTGAAGCTCGACGACCAAGTCAAGAGACTCGAACCAGAAATACGGACTCCGAAAGGGCATTGCAGCCTCATGCACGTGCAGGCGCCCGTTCAACTCGTACTGCTGTTGCGGGGCGGAATCGGGGCGCGGAGAGCCTGAAAAGTATCAAGTAAGCACCATACCCGAAGCTGAGACGTTCGAGGCACAGCTGAACAACTGGTCTGCGGAAAGGCCTCAGGTTGGGTTTGAAATCCTCACCTTCGTCAATTCGTCTTCTCTTTCTCGTTGCTGTCATCAGCTGCATATATTGGCCCTGTTGTGCGTTGGTTGGTGTGACCGATCTCTCTGCACATAATATCGTCCCGAGTCCAAGCACAAAGCGACTTCGTGTATCCTGCGCTGAAGCTCTGAACTATCTCCGCCCATTCTGTTCAGTGCACCTTGGATTCCTGAATTCTCGGCTTCCTCTCTCACTCGGCTCTGACAATTACGATCAAGCTCCAGCTCGACACCATGGGGGACTCAGTAAGGTTACTGATGTCCGTCTTTCCAACCCCGACTAACTTAATGCCAGCGACCGACGCATCAGCATGCCGATGCAGACGGCCACTTTCGCCGGAAAGATAGCCAGTTCCGTAACTGGATCTCCAAAGAGCCAGGTTCCAAGTTCACACCTGAAAAGGACAGATATGCCCTTTATGGGAACTACGGATGCCCTTGGGTAGGCCAGCTCCAACATCCCTGTGAGACAGATCTCTGGCTGACACTTTGTTCCAAGGCACATCGAACAATCCTCGTCCGCGGACTCAAGTCTCTCGAACCCGTCATCCAGCTCATTACCACCGACTTCGACTTGACCGAGAATGGCTGGACCTTCACCGGCCGAAACGGCAGCTTGGGGGCCGATCCCTTGTATGGCTTCACGGGCCTGAAGCAGCTCTACTTGAAGGCCGATCCAGAATATGTTGGCCGTTATACCGTGCCCGTGCTATGGGATAAGAAGACGGAGACAATAGTGAACAACGAGTCGTCCGAGATCATCCGCATGCTGTATGATCAATTTGACGATTTCTTGGAACCCGATCAGAGGGAGGTCAACAAACCTGGCGGGGGACTCTACCCTCCGCACCTGAGGTCAGAGATTGACGCCATGAACGAGTGGGTATATAACACAATCAACAATGGCGTGTACAAGACAGGGTTCGCAACCACACAGGAAGCCTACCATGCCAACGTCTACCCTCTGTTCAAGTCACTCGATCGTCTGGAGGAACACCTGAAGAATCCCGCCCACCAACCATACCTGTTTGGCGGACAAATCACCGAAGCGGACATCAGGCTATACACCACCCTCGCGCGTTTTGACGTTGCATACTACAACATCTTCAATTGCAATCTGAAAATGATCCGGCACGACTACCCTCGCCTTTCGAAGTGGCTGCGCAACCTCTACTGGGACACGTCCGACCGCACCAATGGTGGCGTGTTCAAAAACACCACATTCTTTGAAGTCTACAAGTATGGCTACCTCCGAGCCAAGGGTCGTCAGGTGCACGGCGGGACCGACTTTGGATGGACGCTGATCATCCCCGCCGGGCCGGTTCCCGACATTGAACCTCTGACGGACGAAGAGGAGAAGGAACTGATCGAGGGTACCACCAGAAAAGTGAACGGCTTAATGCTCGACAGCAATAACCTAGGCGCCTCAGCCAACCCGTTCAGCGCCAATGGAGACAAGGCCGGCATGGGCGCCATCTTCGGCGCGGACGTCGATTCCCCCGACGTGGGCGGTGAGGATAGCGTCACCACGCCGACCACCGCGGCCGCGACGACCAGCGTGGGCAGTCCCGCCAGCACCAGAGACGGAGGGGACGAGGACGACGGAGACGCGGGCTTTGACGAGAACGGCGAGTTCCACCCGCGCAGGGTGATTAAGAGGCGAACCACATACAGCGACGCCAACGCCAAGTGGTACAAGGCGGCGAAGAAGGCCGAGAAGAAGATGGGCGCCCCGAGCATGCATTTGGCGCTATAGCGCTACAACGCTGGGAATTTGGCCCGAGCTCGCTTGCGTGGAAGAAGAGAGGATACAGGGACACCAGCAACAATCAAAGTTGCCCGCAATCCGAACCACTCGAGGTACTGCGAAGAAAGAGATGTCACATACAAGGAATGCTTAATTGAAGCTGATCAGGGAATGAGTGGCTCAAACGAGTGGGTGAAGTGAGTGAATGTTCGACAATCGACGCAAAATTGCACAAGGAGCCAAAGGAGACGAGACTTGACTTGACTGTCTAATCTGTCTACCTACCTGGGAGAAAAGCGTGTACTCTCTTTATAAACACAACACAGGCGTGGGACCTCCGGCGACAACACAGCGACACTACCAGTTGGGGGTTTGTATGGGGAAATATCTACTATATAAATAACGAGGTAATCCGAAGTACTTATTGTATTCGGTAATCATGACCACAACACTTTTGAAGAACCATGGTTCATCTCATTCCTTTCCTGGACTTGTGTGGTCAAAGCCAATGGGCACTTGCGCGGCCCTGTCTCTTGGTTGTTTATCTGTATAAAACAGGGTTTTATATATCGAGTTTGGTTTATTGGATGCCAAATCTCCTGGCGATCTCGAGAAAGCCTCCCTCCCCTTCTTCGAGGCCGATCCACATGTCGACCCAGCCCTGCTTTCTCGCCTCCTCCGCGTCCTCCTTGGACCAGCTTTCCTCCTGCGGCCGATCGATGTAGATGGTCTGGTAGCCGCAGCCGCGAGCGGCCTTGAGATCGCCGAGGTGGGCGGCGACGAGGGCGCACTCGGTGGGCTGCAGGCCCAGTTTCTCCGCGGCGCCGAGGTAGACGCTGGGGTGGGGCTTGTAGGCGCCGAAGTCCTCGGCGGAGACGATGTGCTTGTAGGGGAGGTTGCCGTGCGAGGCCAGGTCCCGCAGCAGGGCGGTGTTGCCGTTGCTGAGGGTGGCGGTCTCGAAGCGGGCGTTGAGCCGGCCCAGGCCCGGCGACGAGTCGGGCCACGGGTCGAGAAAGTGCCAGATCATGCTGATCTTCTGGACCTCGTCGTCGGTCCACAGGCCGTCGAGCCCGTGGTCGACCAGGAGCCCGTGCAGCGCCTCGACGTGGTGCTGGTCCACTGTCTTGAATTTGGACGGGTCCCGCTGCGCCGCTGCCGGGTCGTACGTCCGCGTGAAGTTGTAGTACGAGACGCGCCACAGCTGCGCGACCGCCGCCCACGACACCTGCGCTGCGGCCGTGCGCACGCCGCTGGGGATCGACGCCGTCGGGGAATTGAGCGCCTCCGACGCAGAGAGGTCGAGGTACTTTGTCACGGTCGAGCGCCAGTCGACCACGGTGCCAAAGACATCAGTGAGCAGGGCTTTTGGGGGGTTTGTGAGGGACATATTTCTCTCTCTTGATCGAATTGTGATGATACGTTTTTTTTTCTCCCCTCCTCCTCCTCTCGCCTGGATTGATATGTACAGTAATGTAGCGAAATCGGCATCCTATTGCGAAAGAGGGGCGCGGGGATACCGTCAGGCCCTCTTCCCGTTTCGGGATAAGCGTAGATTTCATGGGCTCGTATCGAACAGATACGGGATTTCAAAATACGACGTCATTCTCCTCGAAGGGCTTGTCGTCAGCTTGCCCAATCTTTCTGCTTTAATCGACTGTGGCAAGGCTGTGAGAACCTCACTCCATCGTTCATCTCTGTCAGTCCGCAAAGTTCTGTGAATCACATGGACTACCTCATTCCAGATGCTGGGATCATACAGCGGTGCAGACAAGCTACACCAGATGATCTCCTCAGTCATCCAGCCAGCGACAACAAGGTCCTCAGACTGAATGAGTTCCTGGTTGTGAAGTCTGGGTTCTTGCCGAGTGAGGATGAAGCTCGTAATCAAATGAAAGCATTCGAGATCTCGATCCTGAAATTGTACGCATCCCGAGAGTGTACCGATATTTCAAAGACCCTAAGAGACATGCACCCAACATGGCTATATGGTCATGGATTACATGAAAAGAGAAAGAAAGGAGGCTATTACCAATCCTGCTCAAATACGTGACATGTCTCGAATTCTCCAGCGTTTCGCATCCCAAAAGTGGCAAATCCCTGGTTCGCTCGCCGGAGGACCTTCCTGCAGCACCCTTTTTTAGCGATGCGAAATGTCCGACGGTTGCCTCGATGGAAGACCTAGTGAGGTGGTTCAATATACGCCTTTTCAACACGTCAGCGAGGGTTTCGTTTCAACGAATGGAACTTGTCCTGTGCCATCTGGATCTCTTTCCCCGGAACATCATCTGGCTTGATGGCCACCCACCGTGTGCTCTCGATTGGGCGTCTGCGGGGGTTTACCCTCGCCTTTTTGAGTGCTGCTCTCAACTCAACTCTCAAAGGCCAGAGGAGAACAGGGTTGTCTTGGACCAAAGTCTTTCCGAGTGCGAGTCTCTCCAGGTCGATCTGGTCCTTCAAGCCTCATGGAATGGAAGTGAAGTATTGCTTGTAAGTTGCGACTTGTCATGTCCTGTATCGAGACAAACTGACATCAATGTAGCAGGCGCCCAGCTTTGGAAGAAGTCGTCTCCGAGTGTGATCCATCTGAACTGCCACCTCGTCGATATCCTACCCCTAAAAGTCCGGCAGACGGTCCAACGCATCTCGAGTGCGCTAGAGGATGAGAAGTAAGTTCTCATAGCCATTTTTCCGGCGCAAATTTCGGTAGAAGACGTGACTGTTGTGGTGAGTGGTGCCCTCGCCGACCCGTATTTCAAATCAAATGACAGAAAGGTCGTACGTCATATCATGTACGAATGAAATCCGCCAAAAATTACCATGGAGAAGTACTCCGTAAGCATTGGAGAAAGAACTCTCACTATAAACGGCGAAGGGCTCTCCTTGTACCTGTAGGTAATAGATGTACCACCTAGAAACTGTCACATCAGTACGAGTACGAGTACTGAGCTGGAGGATCATGTCAATGCATTACTGGTGAAGAGTTGGTATCGGATACGACATGTGCCCAGGTAGAGGTTCGACAGGTGCGAGCGAAATATCTGATGATAAGTACTCGGTAATGATACACCGACGGTGTTTTTGCCCTAGTCATTACGGAGCATGGTGAACGCATGAACTATAGTTCAATAGATACTGGGCACTGATACAACTCACAGGCTAGATTATGTGATTGTGTGATTGTACTTGGTACCGGTTCACAAGTTTCGGGGGAGACTCCAACCCTCGGCACCAACTAACGTTCTCCTTCCTCCTTTCGTCAGTTGCTCATTGACAACAATTGACAATCAAGGCGTTTGTTTCTCCGAGAGACTTCTACGCGAGAGCACTCGGTACTCATGGTTCGTATCTCCGCACGTCTCTCTGACTGACTGACCCTGTGTCACTTTGAGGATGATTCCCCGTCGAACAAACAAGTGAGGCGTTTTGTGGGATTGTGGAGGAACTGGTTACTAGAAGGGAAAAAAAGGGAAGAGGGAAGGAACTTTGTGGAGTTTGTGGTTGGCGCCATTCCTTCTACCTACCTGGGTATTCCTCGAGTCCGGGCACGCCAGGTACGCCAGGCGAAGCCAGGGAGGTTCGATAGAGTGAGTACCTAAGTAAGACGAGAAACTCCATCCGTACTCGGTAGGAGGTAGGTAGTGTGATCATCATGCTCGTAAAATTCCAGTTTGATCGACATCAGGGGAAAGGAAGCCCGTGGTGGGCAATCAAACTACGCGGAGACGGCCACGATGCCCAACGAGCCGTGGATAAACCTGGCAAGCCTGGTAGTAACAGTGGCAGGGCAAGGGAAGGTGAAACAACGTCACACGCAACCGACATGATAACAAGAACCTAGTCCATGGTGCATGGGCACCAAGAGGGCAAGCGAAGGGGGGGAAGAGGGGTCCGGGAACGTTTAACAAGCTCTTGGAACACAAGGCGAACAAGCAGGATGAATTACCAAGAAAGAAGAAAAGCCACCACCGGAAGGAGGAGGGGAAAGAGATAGCAAGATTGACAGATCATGTATGGCATACACATGATTGCGGCAACGCGGCATTGGCGAAGGAACTTGTGATGTTATTGTTGTTATTGTTCGCCTTTGATTTAAAAATATGTGATGGGACAAGGTGTAATAGTAGGTGCATACAACTATTTGTTGACAAGTGTGATAAAACAAATGTTAAAGTGTGATGAAAAGGTTAGTGTTAGTTGGTAGGCTTGGTAGGATTCATCCTTGTCAATGTCCAGACACAGACAGGTACGAGTAGGGCAAGCGACTGATAGTGTATGCGACGGTTTGTCGGTGCACGGAGCATGATCAGCATTTGTCGGGAACAAAATCAGCCAACCAAACCTTGACTTCGGAGAATTTAATGCCAAACAAGAAGAGATTTGTTACGAGTCGAGGGAAGAAAAAAACCCTAAATATGGCTTCATCTACGAGGGGCCATACGAGGATGGAGTACGAGGGACGGAGTTGCGGCAAAGCTTAGTACCTCCCAGACGCAAACGAGAAAAAAAGGATCCAAACACTCAAGACACAGGTGGTGCAGGCTGACTCGATATGACGGGATGGTGGCCCAAATAGGTCATGACTAGCAAAGACAGTTGGTGTAAGCGAGAATGAGAGGAGAAGCGAGAGAGACAGTAGATAGACACAATAATGATGATGATGGAGTATGATGATGCGGGCCCCTTTGAGCCAAGCAAAGCAAACACCCAGTCAAGCCCGGGCTTCCTACGAGCATCTACGAATACCCACCTACCTTCCTTGTACAAGTAAGTGGCACGGACAACGGAAGTGACCTGGGGGGAGCAAACAGTTCATGTTGCATGCCGTGAATCCGTGACAGTGGTCTTTGTCCGATGCATTTACTAGGATTACGAGTCTCTAGGGAGAGATGCAGGAAGCCTAGGCGGAGTTAGAAGTGGAAGGGCGCGGGGGGAGCGAAAAGACTTACAGCCTACAGGCTACAGGTCCAGGGAGACCTGGAGGGAGACCTGCTCAAACTCATGCCTAGAGGTACTACCTACGCCTTCATTTGCATGTACTGTATGCAGCTCTTGTACGTACAGTAGCACAATCACAGCCAATGACCACTCCCCTCGTTATTCCTACACACCCTCTTCTTCCACTCACATTCCAGACCTCGCATCAATACCCATCACCCACGAGGCACAACTGTCAAATGATGGCCACGAGAAAGGATATCAGTGTTTCTTCCCTGACCCAGGAAATTGTCAAATTTGATACCTCGATCAATTGGCAAGCTTTAGGTCCAAGCTTGATTAGCCCCCCCAGACACAAAGGCTAGTTGACCAGCTACTGGTGAGAATCTTCCGGCGGTGGTAGCCCAGTGGCGCAGGGTGGAGAAGATGAAACACACTAGACATGCCACCAGGAACTTGACTCCAGACCGGCCCGTTGCTGCTGAAAAGACCCTAAAACCGCCCACCAGGTACCCCAAGTACAACTACTTCCCTAGCAGTGCCTTCCTAGTATTAGCTCAATCGGACCTGCAGTGGCCTGAAGCCTGGAACCCCGATCTTCTGGTCACTCTGTGATAATTCTCTAGGTACCTACTCGTAGGTATGTACTCGTAGAACACTCTCTACGCTGCGATAGCAGTCCCTCGTACAGAAGCACCATGTGTTCTTCTTTAGTTCCACACTTGTCCCACGTTGACGCCACTATCACCACTCCCAGCGTGGCCACCACCATGGAACTCCCCAGCTGTTCAACGACCCGAGAAACTGCAAAACAGACTAGGCAAGCTGCGTGGTCCTTCCGGGCTAAGACGGAAGCCTCCGTCCCACGCCCAATAAAAGGCCCATGGCTCATGGCCCACGGCAGCAACCCTGCCTACTTCCTGGGTCCCTAGTTAGTAGCCCCGCGCACCAGTGTCCGTGCTCGAGCCTCATCCCCCCCCTACTCCCACTTGGGTCCTACCTAAGACCGTGGTAGCCTTTTTTCACTTTGGTCAACTCCACCCTGCAGTCCCTGGTCAGAAAGACCATCCTCGCCTGCGCCCAGCGATGCCCCTGAGAAATGATTTTCCCGCGATTGATGCCCTGTTGCCCAATCATTTCCTGAGCCAATCTTGCGCCTATGAGTATGCCGGACGATCATTTGCAGCAAGTTCAAAGGCCCAACAGGCCCATGAGGCCCATGGACTCCGCTCGCAGACGCGAGTGCGGGCGATAGAGAGTCTTTTCCCTGTGGCTGCTACTCGTACTGAATTCTGTGCAAAGCTTCACTTTTAGCAGCCTTCGCTCGACCCAAGGCAGAGGATCAGGCCCCGGCCTCGTCGGTCCTTTCTCGACTCTTTTCGCTTCAGAGCAGCATCCTCGTCAATCGTCACCCTGGTCCTCGAACAGTTTCCCCCAATTCACACAGACTAGGCTGGAATCAGATCAGCAAGCTTTCCCCTGTCCATCTGTCAATCCTATTGCAGACAGTCCGTTCCTTTGCCTGCGCTTGCATGAGGGTTGGTTCTGTTCTGTCCATTGTCTCGTCAATCTTGCATGACCATCTCACCGTCTCGACCGCAACACTGTTTGAAGCCCTTCACGAGTCCACTGTGCGATTTTGCGGAACCCTGTTGGCTTAGTTGTTGCATTCAATCGTTTTGTTGCCTTTCCCCGTCATGTATTGTACGGCTCGCTGAGTAGTGATTCATGTCACTATTCGTTGCCCAAATCAGAAGCACAGGGACGAGCCATCCAAGCGATCCAAGAGTATGTGTATGCCCTACGCGGGCTGCACCTGAAACCCTGAGTTTCCTCGAGGGCACGACAACTGTCGACGAATAATGGACCCCGAGGTCAGCTATTCGCTACCTTCACCGACCGACACTCCATATCGAACACCGTCCAGTTCTCAATCCCTCCGTTCCCGCCGGTACGAAGACATGTCGCCCTCATCTACGCCTCCTCCAATGCCCGATGAACGAGCAAGCAAAAGACGAAGTAATGATTCGCTCCATTCTAACCCTGCTCTGGACGAGAATATCTCTCCTCTCGACCCACGACGGTTTACACCCACGCTCCATGCCTCCTTGGTGTCCGAAATCCTGTCGTTGAGGCGAGACCTCGAGAGTCGCACCAATGACATTGAAAAGTTGGAAATCAGCCTCCATGCGGCGCAGACTCAAAATGAGGTGCTCAATAACAACCTTTTGCAGGCTAACAAGGAGACGAGATCAGTGAAGCGGCAGATGCAAATGCTCGAAGGTGGCACACTGTCCGCCCTCAACGACCTGGCGAAAGAACGGGATGATGCTCTGAGCGATGTTACTGATCTGCGAAAGCGTCTCGAACAAACTCAGAAAAAGGCCAAAAGCCAGGAGGAAACCGCCGACAAGACCCAGGCATTGTGGGACAAGGACAAGGAGATGTGGCTCGCGGAAAAGCGTGGCCTGGAAACCAAAGTCCACATTGCTGAAGGCCGCTTGAAGGTGGTGCTGAGTGAACTTGCCAATTCTCAGCAACAGCCAGTCCCTGCTTCCCCTACCGAACGTGCCCACAGTCGCAACAGTATCATGGATAGTCCCAGTAAAGGCTCCATCATTGCTCGGAGAGGGCGGAGGCACAGTGCGACGTCAGTCAACAGTGATACTCACGGAGGTCGAGTATCGGTGTTAAGTTTCCACAACGGCATTTCAATCAACCTGGCAGACGAATTGGCGTTTGATGAAATGGAAGAAGACATGCTAAATGCGCTCGACAACGACGATGGCCGGGTCTCCCCCGACGCTCTACCCGAGGAACACGTTCGACCCGCCTCCAGCTTGTCCATCAAAGCAAGGAAGGTGTTGGGTCTACCTGTCGACTTTGAAGACATGGAGCGCATTGACAGCCCTGAGCATGATCGTTCTGGTGCCATGTCAATAGACGGGAATCGACGTCGACCAAGCGTCAAATACGTAGACACTGCCATTCAATTTTCCCCACCAGCGTCCCCGTGGCCGATGTCAGATCCTCGACCCAAGGCTAATGGCCACCGACCCTTGGAAATTTCCATCGCAAATGCCAGACAGATTAGTGTCACCCCAAGCCCGGTCAGCCCGCAAGACAGTATTGACATCGCCTGGGAAAAGCAACGACCTATCATGGTATCTTCGGGCTGCCAAACGGTCGAGGCTCTCCCAAGTCCACCCCTTACACCTGACAAGCGCGACGCAGGGCTAGCTACCATTCCGGAGAGTGCTCTAGAAAGAGTCGAGACCGCCACCATTGGAACCCAGACCGAAGCTGCGCAACCTGTCTTCGACCAGTTCAGCCACAAACACACTGGGAGCGAGGAGACTCTCGATCTGAAGGTTCCCCTGATTGCCATCATCCCTCCCGCATCCAGACCTGCCACACCTGAAACTAGTGTTATGCTACCACCCCGAACCAAGAATGCAAGTACCCAGGTTGCCAATCACTTACTAGGAGGATACAAGTCTTCTTCTATGCAGACGGAAGAAATTCGAGTCGACATACGAGCCATTGTTCCACCCTCCGAGATGCCACCTGCTCCATTGTCGAGCCATTACAGGCCACCAATTTCATCCAGGGCCGTGCCGCCTCCTATCCCTCGCAGCAGAGTATCTCCTGGTAGTTCGATGTTTGCATCAAGGCGTTCGGCCATCGCTGGGCCGTCCAAGATACCTCCTTTGAACGACAATGGACCTCTCACGAGAGACTTCGCTTCAAATATGCCACGACCCGTCAGATCAAGTAGTCTTTTCGCCGGATTCGATGACGACGCTGAAAATCGGGATGATTATATCGAAGAAGATACCTTCGAGGAAGACGATATCTTCAGTCGCCCAACAGCGAAATTCGTTCTCAAGTCTGGAAAAATGGTCTCCCAGGACCTTCGGTTGGACGACGTCAGTGAGAGTGCAGCAGTATCTGCAGGCGAGGCAGCTGCATTGGAAAATCTCCGACTATCTGAAGACAGTCTACCTCCAGAGATGAAGGCTATTCTCTTCCAGACTCGGACCAGCCCACGCCGAGGATCTCAACGCCAGAACATGGGCCTGAAACTGAAGAGGGTTCCATCGGCCAGGTCCAACAACATGAGAAGAACTGCCTTGATATCGAGTGGAGCCGCTGCGCACCAGTCATCACACTCCCAATCCACCACCGGCTCTCTGGAGAGCAACAACCCGCCTCCCTTCCCCGTTCCCTTGCGGTATAGCTCAGCTAAGGTGGGCAAGTCCATCAGTGAAGGCGGAAGAAGTTCACCCGGCAGCAGCAACGCGTCACCGACCAAACGACCAAGGAACAGCAAATTCGCCAAACCGATGTTGCGAAAGGCGAGATCAGGACCAGCCATTTCACCTCACTCGCAAGCGCGCAAATCACGCAGTCGATCACCGCCCCTGGAACCAAGAGTCTCGATTGTCCCGGAGATGCCAAGTTTCCAGATGCCTACAACGACACCGGCACCCGTGATTGAGCCATACAGCAATCCGCGGGAAGCAAGCGCTCCTCGGCCGTCCATTGCAACGGGCCCTAGTCGACAGCGCAGTCACACCAAACAGAATTCTGACGTGCTATCAATGCAGCAGACATCGGTTGTGGATTCTATTGCTCAAACCATGGTCGGAGAATGGATGTACAAATATGTAAGGAGACGAAAATCATTTGGGGTGACTGAGAAGGCGGATTGGGATGCCAATAAGAGCGTCGAGGAGATCTCTCAAAGTGTGACCAACAACGGCGTTCGTCACAAGCGATGGGTCTGGCTTGCGCCTTATGAGCGTGCGGTCATGTGGAGCAGCAAGCAGCCAACGTCTGGGACCGCCTTGATGGGCAAGAGTGGTCGAAAACGTGAGTTCATTGTGAAGAGTGCTTGTCCGAAAGCTAACTGTCAACCAGTGACAATCAAGTCCGTCCTCGATGTCAAGGATGACAATCCGATGCCCAAAGGGGCATTAACTGGAGCAAGCTTCAACAGGTCCATTCTTATCTTGACACCTCAGCGTGCCCTAAAGTTCACAGCGACATCTCAAGAACGACATTATATATGGTTGACGGCGTTGTCGTTCCTATCGCACTCTCCTCTCAGCGTCAACGATCTCACCGCCATCCCACCACCGCCCCCGCTTCCGGAACACGATGTGTCGCCTGCTCCAGCACCATCACTTGCCGGATCACTTCGCAGACGACCAATTCGAGACTCTATTCGATTGACGAAAGGCGTTGCTAAGTCAGTCGCCGGCACGAGGTCTTTCACGACCGATGGATCGGTGCCCGTACATGACTCGCGACCTCCTACTCGCGATTACTATGATCCCTTGACGGATCCTGCTCTACCACCAACAATCCCTCGCCACTCTCGAAAGCGAAGCAATACAGCGCCTCGAGCGCCACCCAGCTCTTTCAGGAGCTTCTCCACAAACGGTGTAACCCCAAGTCTACCCGGACCGGGATCCAATTATTCTCAAAGTGTTCATTCCACGGCGGTTTATTCCTCCGACCGTGGCTTATATACGCCCAGCTTGGGAATGCAAAGTGTGATTAGCAGCCGAAGAGGCAGTGAGGCTAGTGCTTCAGGCAGGCCTCCCCTTCCGACCTTTATGGATAACAACCAAACTACGACTATGAGGATGGACGCCTTCATTGAACACGAGCAAGGCACATCCTCAGGTCGGCCGTCTTTCAATTTCATGCGATCAGGGCAACCCAAAAGAAAGGACATGGGCTACTGGGGCGCAGAACAAGGAAGAGAGAGCATCAGCCCCGTGGACTCATTGCTGCACAGTGAGATGATGGCAGCAAGCTCCTCCACACGAGGGAGCTACGAATCGAGAGATCCGTGGCGCGGGTTCTGAGGTCTCCCTCCACCCACGATGCGTTCCCAAACATTGACCCATCCAAAGACGATTTTTAGTCATAATGTGTACAAGTGACAATGATGGAAAAAAAAGAAAGAATCAGTTTTTCTGCGCAAGCAGTGGATTACAGGACGAAATCCAGCACCAGCTTGGGATATCGTTTTTACTCGTCCGAAACCATTCCATTCCCTTTTCTGGCAAATGGGAGATGGCGTTCTCTTTGACTCAGGATGTGGGATTGGATGTGCCAACAGGAATTTGTTGGCAAAAGCATGGGATGGATAGGCAAAAACCTGAGGGAGGAAGCTTTTGCTTGATCTGTACCTATATGTCTGTCACATACCCCCCCATTTGTTTGTGGTTGTTGTATTCTGGGGCGTTCAAGCGAGTATCCTACTGTATGAAGCCTCTGTGTGCTTGGTGATGTCACAATGCGAATTAGCCTGTTACTTTCAGTTTGCACCCACCGTCTGGTCTCTTGTTGCGAGGAGGCAAGGCTGAGGATTGATATCGATTATGTAAACAAGCAGCCTGGTGAGCCCCGCCATCTTTATCCGTAAGGCTGCGGCCTCGCCCAACTCACCCACTTCATCAACAAGTCACTTGAACTCTTTCTACCCTCCAAACACCCCGGCGGTCCTCGCATTTAGCCAAGCTCTTTCTTCGCCCGTGCCATTGATAACTCGTTTCCCTCTAGCGGCGAAGACCTTGAATACCCTCACTGTCTGTGTCACTCTCTCAAAAACCACAACCCCACTTCCACTTCCTCCGCGGCCAGCGCCTGCTCGTTTCCCTTTCAAATTCCGACTTTCTGTTGCGGCTCGCGCACGACGCAAACATGCTGATCAAGTAATGCACAACCCTTCCCTCCCCTCCTCTGTCTTTTCCCTAGAACACGAAACTTTCTCGTTAGCGGCGGGAACCTCTACTACGGTGTTACACGATGGATGATGAGACGAGACTGACGACTGGACGATTCGTGAAAACAGGGTGCGCACGTTGACGGGAAAGGAGATTGAGCTGGATATCGAGCCGGATTACAAGGTGTGCCTGCCACCCAGTCATCCCTCTCTCGCGTTCGGAAGCATAGTCCTCGACGGAGACTGCTCTCCATCAACTTCACTACCTCGACCACCTACACATGCACATACTTGGGAGCAGAACAGAAGGCAGGGATATGAATCCTGAAAAAGAGGTGGACTGCAACGCTGACAAGATGGAAATCACAAGCCGCGACGGTTTTGAATGAAAATTATCACAAGTTCTGACAGATGATGTCCCTGCGGCATTGAAACAGGTCTACCGGATCAAAGAGCGCGTCGAGGAGAAAGAAGGCATTCCGCCCGTCCAGCAGCGGTTGATCTACGGCGGAAAACAGATGTACGTCTTCTGACATTCTTCCATTTCCCCTCCCCTTTCCCTTTTCCTTTTTCCCGGAGGGAGAAACCATGTTGCGTGAGTGAGAGAAGTATTCAGGGTCGGATGGGCAGGTTGCATTGAGCTGGATCTCCAATACAATATTAACTCGAAGTGCTGGTGTGGACAATCTGCTAAGTGAATACTATCGTGTGGAAAACAGGGCCGACGAGAAAACCGCCGAAGATTATGGTCTCGAAGCTGGCAATACGTTACACTTGGTGCTGGCGCTGAGAGGGGGGAGGTGACGGCGATTGTAACGGCGACAGCACTCTCAGCATGGAAGAGGGCAGGGTTGGCGAGGGGTGTGCATGCCTGTGTGTTCTCACAAGGCAGATGGGTGAGGGCGATGGTGGTGGCGGGGAGAAAGTGTCGCGCGATCGTCGGAGAGGATGTGCAAGTCAGTCACAATGAAGAAGGATCAAAGGGCGTGAGGTGGCACGAGCCGTGAAGGCCATGGAGTGAAATAACCAGCCATGGACATGGACATGGACGTGACACATATGGCCCATGCACTCGACTTCAGACTTCAGACTTGAGACTTGAGACATTGACTCTAACTCTGGCACTGACACTATTTGACACGGGGATGGGATGAAACGAAACGTAACCAACTCAAGGCGACCAGACAAAATCGCCACAAGGATAGGGCAGTCAGTTTGCAGTTTGACAATGACAAAGAGATACACAAAAACAAAGACAAGAAACTCGGAAAATCAGGATCTCATTTCATCTCATTTCATTTCACCTCATCTCGGTCAGTCAGGGTACCTCGTGCCCCGTATGTCGTATATCGCCACGTATCTACTCGAAGGTGCCGCCTACCTAGATACCGACATAAGTATTCACATATCCACATATCATGTTGGTGACATTGATGACTCGATAGGCACATGAATGCAATGTGCGCGTAAAGATGTGTTTGATGTTGCTGCTCGAATATTCAATTCCAGATGGGTGCCGTGCCTCTTCTTCTCTTCCCGAAATATGATGCCCCAACCTGGTTAGTACTTGCTTCTTAGCAGTTGTAATGTCCGGTCTTCAGTCTTCAAATTCTATCGTCATCGTTCTAATCCCTCACGCACACCCCATCATACTGGTTTGGGTCGTTTATTGGGGGCTGTGTAAAAGAGGTTTGGTGCTTCATATTTTCTTTTCACCGATTGCGAACCCAGTGGCCGAGATCCCGGTGCCGGGGAGAGCTTCAGCGGGCTCCTCGAACGGGGCGGGAGTTCGCTGGCAAGGGCATTGTTCGGCTTCAGAAGCTTCCGCGGTGTCTCGACTTTGTTCTCTACCGACTCTCGTGTTCTTCGTGGCTGGTCCTGGATGTCATCACCATCCGAGTCTTCGAGGAAATCGAGGGTCAAGCTGCCATTTATATCGTCAACTCCTCGCGAATTTCCAGGAACTTTCCCGTTCTTCCGCTTTTGAGAATTTCGCTGTACACTATTGAGCGGAGACTGTAAGTCCCTCGCTGAATTCGAGGCCGAGGCTTGGGCTTGAGAAGTCTCGTACGGTTCCGGATCGACCGTGCTGATTGGTCTTCCCGACTTCAAAGCCCGTAATCTTGACTCTCTGTCGCTCGTCAGATCATATGGCTTTCCACCACCGGCAACGGCAGGCTGAGGTCTCGGTTTCGGTATCTGCGTGGAGGGAGCAAACATCGGCGGCCTCGACGTTCCCGCATTACCAGATGCGCCAGTCCCCGACACGGGTCTTTTGAGCGGCGGACTCAGAGCCTTCTTGGCCTCGGTCGCCTGCACGATCTTCATCTTCTTCACCTCCTCAACGAATTGCGCCGGCGCTTTAACCACCCCCGTCTGCTTCTTCTGTAGCTCGTGCATCGGTCGGTTCATTTTGCCAGCTTTTGCATCCCTGGCTTCCTTGCGAATCTTCTCCATCAAGGTCATTTTACTGGCGCCCTTCGCGCCCGTCTTGCCCGATATATAGTTCCACTGAATCCTGGCTCTTCGCGAAGGTCCAGAAGCATTGCTGCTCGAAAGTAGGCCCGCACTGAGAGCAGTGCTTGCAATCACCGCTGTGTTCTGCTCTTTGCCCTTTTGAATATCCGCCAACGCGGCTTTCAACATAGCTTCGTCGTTGGAGGAATCCTTAGTTGCCTCTGCCTTCAGCTTCTTGTACACTTTGTACCAGTTCTTCGGGTTGGACGGTTCATGGCGCTTCAGATCCCAGTCGGGAATGTCTCGCTTGATGAAGTTGAGCCAGATCTCGGCGTCGTGACCGATGATTTGCGGAGACGAGAGCTCGAGTTGGTGCTACAGGTGGCTGATCAGTACGTTCACAGGCCTCAAGAACTATACGGGGGTGGAGGTCTGGGAAACACACGACCGAATGTGCAGGGCGGGACTTACCAGTTTCTCAGGGCTCTCGATCTTGAGCAATATAGGTCGAATCAGGTCATAGTCGATATCACCAATGTCTGTTATCCGGTGCACATTGCGGACACAGGCCCGGCGGGCCATGTCAAGAAGGCTGTCGACAGGCATGGTGATGGCCGATCCGTGGTCAGCTAGTGGGGAGCTGGCCAGTCCTCGGAGACGTGGAAGAAGAAGGACATGCGAAAGACGGAGGGCAAGGGACGTCTATATCATGTCACCGAGTATGTCACAGATGTGACTGTGAGCTGAAGTCCTTCTTACCCTGTAACAAAACACCACGAGTGAACCGTGGGGTCGGAACAAGCGCAACTTCGGCTCAAGTGACAGCCTTGCAGTTTCCGCATGCGGCGTAGTTCAGCCTCACGCGCTCCCTTGACCACTCTCCATTCACCACTTGTTTGAACCAAAAGGCGACGAACACGGCTTTAATCTATAACCACGATACCAAGGACTTTCCAAGAATAAGAGAGTATGGCGATTTTTACAGTTTTAGACCAAGCTGAGGAAGGTAAGGATGTGCGTTGCCGACTCAACAAGCACCAAAGCTCTGACTACGTCGTGCAGACAAACTTCATGCGACGCGGCTTCTAGGTATCGAAGAGCGGCCCTTCAAACGGGTATCTAAACGCCTTCTTGCCCCCACTACTCCTATAACCTCTTTCCTGTCGCGACCAAGCCCGTCAGACGACGACGCAGCGACCGCAGAACTGCCTGGGGACGAACACGAGAACTTCCTCCAATCCTTGACACGCTTTCGCGAGGACGTGATCCTCGACTTCGCAGCCTTCGAATCCGCCATCGCCCGCACAGGATTCCTCCGCGCTGCAAACACCCGCGAGCGCGACCGCTATGCCTCTGAAAAGCTCAAGATTGAACAAACTGCCAATGATGTGCGGGAGAACCTGTCACATCTGAGGGTGCAACTTGATGAGGCGCAGAAGACTCTAGCGGTTCGAAAAACCTACGATGTGCTAGCGGAAAAGATCACCCGAGATGAAAAATTGAAAGTCACGAGAGCCGAACAACATGTGAATCTCGAAAAACTCAAGGCCGAAATCGAGGAGTTGGAACGTGAAAGCACGGAGTTGAAGGTCGCTTGGGCAGAGAGAAGAGAGCAGTTTGAACGAGTCATACACGAGGGAGCGAGACTGCGGAGGGTGATTAGAGACGAGAAAGAGCCAG